TTGAAGCAAAGCCTAACAGCTCTGAAACCAGTATATTACGACATGCGCAAGCAGCAGACATTTCTTTACACAGTTACGTTTTTTTCGCGTAACGTACAAATTACATCACAGTTGTCTGCTAAAGGAAGGTAGATCAGTATAAAAACAGAGCAAACCAGCGAACCATCGTCACTTGCTCAATTGAGTCTCCAAACACAACAACCATGAACAAGGCAATCATCCTCATCGGCACAACTTGTCTTCTTGCCATTGCCATTGCGCAGGTGTCCGCTTACTATGGCAACACAATGATGCTCGGCACAGGCGTGGGATACCCCTCCACCGTGGGAGTAGGAAATGGCGCCGCTCGCAGCAACTACTATGACAACTACTACAAACAGTACGAACGCTACAACCGTGCCCAGGCCGCAAGAACCATCAACAAGTCCGTCATGATTTTTACAACTCCGCTCTTAGCTTTGTAAGTTTGTGTTCAGAGTGGAGAAAAAACAATTTTTCATAATTATTTGTTCTAAACAATGATTTTCTTCCTTGCAAAAATGCGAAATTTTAATTAACTAAGCTCTCGTAACCTTATGCTAAACTGATTTACCATTCTCTGCAAGCGTTTGTAAACATTCGTTTTATCGTAAAATCAAATAATTGAATAGCTTTATTAATGAATCCTTTTTTTTCTTTTCAGTCTCTCTGTTCGGTCTGGCATTGATCGCCACCAACACCACTGGAACTCTTGCTGGTTAAGAAGCTGTCAAGATAATTTAGAAAATCCATCTGACAGGTGCGTTCATTTATTTTTTTTTCACTTTCATAAAATAAAGAAAGTACACTGATTGTAATTGGGTTGACCATTGTCACAATCTTTTATGGATATCTTTTTGGTTTTGTTTTAGTTAATTGTCATTTAATAGAATTTTTTATCTCTTTGCAGGGGTTTGACTACCAGACCAGAGGTGGTTGCTTCATTGATTTTATGCTCTTCGATGTGTTGAATAAAATTGTTAAAAATTACACCAAACTTTGTTTTAAATCAGCTATCAGCATTTTTCGCTCAGAATTGACTTGCTTTTCATTCAACAATCATGAACAAGGCAATCATCCTCATCGACACAGCTTGTGTCTTTGTTATTGCCTTTGCGCAGATGTCCGTTTACTATGGCAACACACTCCTTAGTAAATTCCCAGGAATGATTTCTATAAGTAATGAATTAATGTAGATATTATGGTGCACAGGAGAGGAATGCACATTGAAGCACAAGTTTGTATCGCAACAGATTCAATTCTTGAAGACAAAAAAATACATGAAAACCATTAAAGCAAAGAGTAAAAATTTCAAAGGCTTTCAAAAGCAATTTCATTTTCTTAAGATTGCACCAAAAATGATTAATTAAAAAAAAACATTTATTATATTGCTATCATATTGTTGAAAAGACAACCGAAACGGTCAGATTAACAACAGGAGTTCAAGCGTATAAGGAGTTAGTTGCAGAACAGTATATTAGTCTTTGCCCATTATGGTCAAAAGACTAATACTGAGTTCATATATCTAAAACCATAACCCTACAGTTATTCAACTAATAAGGAGTTAAATTATCCCATATCTACGGTATAATGAAGTGGATTCCCGTGTAAAAACTTTAAAACATTATTGACAGTGATGTAAAACTTCGGATAAAAAGAATCTCATAATTTAATTTGTGGTTGGATATGATTTCCTCATCCAACCACAACAAATCATGGGAGAATCAGAGAATTCATATACTTTCTATCTGACCACTTTATAACTAATAGTCAAAGGGAAAAAAGAAGCCTTAATTCTATTTTACTGACAGATAATAATCACCAAGGGAATAAATTGTTATTGCTGGAGCTAGTCCGATAATATTTTATTTGATTGGTAATTATTATATTATCGGATTGCTAGCAGGTGACATCACCTTATCAGATTGGTGGTATTTTTAAATTACGTTCGTGGAATTTTGTGAATGACTTTCAGCAATAATTCAAAGTAAACAAGAGCACCACAAAGCGCAAAAAATACTTATAAATCATGACGGTATTCGATATTGATCCTGGTGCAAATTTCGCCATTTCTGTTTTGCACAATGCATACTAGCATACACAATTACAAGCATCCACACACACACAACTGTGTTACGATGTCCCCTCTAACTACGTTGCGACTAGTCATGGAGGGTCCTGGGTTAGATTTCCCTCCAGCCACAAGTTTTCTCCTTTCTTTAAGCAATTTCAAATTTCAGATGTCAAAAGTTTTTGTACAGAAAAAAAAGTGACAAACGGAGATCAATCTTATATAATCATAAATAAAATGAATCGCGAAGAGCGCAAAAACATCGACCCCACAATGGTATTAGGTGACTTAGAGGAGTAACAATTCTCTTTTGACATGTTACTCTTGCCGAGAGTCCAAGATTTTAAAAGCAATAACCCAAAACAACAATTGTTTTAATTGAAACATGTCAGATCAACAAACGCCGAACCAAAGAAAGGTTATAAAGACCGTAGAAATTGGGCAGGGAACGCTGGCTTTACACGGGGTATCAGAAAGCATTGTAACATCAACTTATTTGTCAGTAGTTCTCCTGTATTTTATGAAAGATGATCGTACTCGGAGCAGACTTTTGCGTATCAAATCAGTTGAAAGATATAAACATCATATGCAAGTGAATATTCGTATACATATATATATTATAAATTTAATTCATGGTACATGTAGTTGACGATGGAAAAGCTGAAGTCCCTTCGTCATGCACACTGTTTATACTAGGAAGAAAAAAAGAATACCGACTTTTTAACTATTCAACTGTTGAATTAATCGTGTAACCGTTTTAAAAAGCGTGTAAACATGGTTAAAGGCATGATAATGTATTCACCCTGTTGATGTCTATTTTTTTTTTTTATTAAATGTAAATAATTTTTCTTTAAATCGTCTTTTGTTGTAAGACGTATTTTTGTCCATAACTTGGCGCCGTATAAAAAGTTGAAAAATGGAGAAGGTGATCGTGCAGAACTATGTCAACGGAAAGTTTGTTCAGACGGAAAAATATATCGATAGTTTTGATCCGTCAACAGGTGAAGTCTGGGCAAAGATTCCAGATAGTGGAGAGACAGAAGTAAACGATGCCGTCACCGCTGCCAAGGCTGCGTTTCCAAAGTAAGCGATACCTTTCAAGATTTCTGAACCGAATTTCCTCCATGTTCAAAATACATTTATTATTTAGATTTATTGACCAGCTATTTTATCAGATTTTGATCAAAATATTTTGCAAGAAGACATCGATTATTGTTGATAAAAAGTTTAACAATGAGGTTATGGGTAATTGATAGAGGATCGACCAATCGAAATGCAGATAATACACACACCTCCGATGGTGTGCAGTTTGGGCTATAACTAAACCTTGAAAGTAGCTGTTGGGGGGGGGGGGGAAGGAGGGACTCATGCCTGATATCTAGTAGTAATTCATTTTGCATAGTAACATTATTTAATACCAGCACATATCTTACACAATTTCATGCCATTTAACAGTAAGATTACATTTTGGGGGGGGGGGGGGGGTATGTGCTTTTCGGTCTGTCAATCTAATAGACTATCCACAAAGAACATTTCCATTGAGCATAACATTTGAACATGTTTGAATGGTTTTTGCAAGGTCTACCAGATTTTCCCTGTGTATTCCTTATGACAAGACCTTCCTTGGAGGGCAAAACTTTCGACGTTTTAAGATAGTACAAAAACCCATGAATTCTATTTTAACTCATTTCGTAGAAAGGAGAGGAGAAAAAAAAGAATAATCAATGTTTTACAAAAAGACATCTTGTTTTGAACACTTTTGAAAATACAATCATCATCTTGATAATTACAGCCTTCCTAAGCTAGATGAACATTATAAGTATAAACTTAAAGTCCTTATAGAATAGAATAGAATAGAATAGAATAGAATTTATTACCAATCAGGGCCCATTAGGCATAAACATATAACATATATAATTACATATAAACATAATATTAAAGTAATAGACAGAATACAACATGTGGTGAAGAGCAATTCTTCTATTAAGTATATATATGTACTGATATATATGTTGGTGGCAATTTAAGTTTCATATACAGACATACATGATGGTTTGTTGTACAAAAAAAAAAAGTGTGCATAAGTATTATTCATGATATACATATATATGTAAATATATACATATCAAAATGCATAAAACTATGTTTGAAACATCAACAGGAGGCAGCAAGAGTCGGTGCTAAAGGATATACAGAATTCCACTTCTGCCTCATGTAGAATAAACAGACATAAAATTTATGGAGATAAACATATATTATATAAATAAATTATACATTGACACATGTGTTAATTAAACTAAACTATAATGGACAGCAAGAGTCAGTGCTGAAGGATAGTATATTGTTATTATACATGTATTAAAGTTATCCACTTCTGTCAAATGTAGAGTATATAATACAACACAAATATCAACAACACCTACATAGTGTAGCATAATTTATCCAACCAAGGTACTTCAAATGATTTTGAATTTGTCGAACTATACATGACTTATGAATTCACACAATTTGAACAGCACATCAACATCTTCACAGTTCATTAACCATAAAAATTGGTTATTTTTTGACAAGCTATTAAAAAGATGACACCTCATAGATATCATGGATAGTAAATTTTTCATTGACTATGGCATGGACAACTTAAAAGAAAATTATTTATCTTTATTTTTTCTATTTTACAATTGGGGCATATTCTCTCTTCTCTTGGAATACCGTAATGTCTACCTTTTTAAATCATCAGATTGTGAGAAGATTTCTAAATTTTTTTAGAATCTTTTTTTTTTCAAACTTTCTTAAAATTAATAAATAAGGTTCTAGCCCAAAGTTCTGTTTAATTGTGCAATAGGTGTCCAATTTCCCACAAATACTTAATTCTTCCTTCTTTTGATACCATTTTTCAAGAAAATATGAATTTAGAATGCGTTTACAATGATATTTAAATGTTGATGTAGATGATTTCAGATGAGGTGTTAACTAAGAAGTTGTTTAAACATATCAATAGAACCAAACCATGATAAATTGTTTTTATTGAAATTGGATACCGAGGTAGTATACGCAGCTTTTAATAGAGGATATGTGTCATCCAAATTCTCTAACCTATGCCAGTATTTCAATATATTCTGAACAATACTGAAACTCATAGGGTGTCTACCTAGTTCTGAAAGGACTGCAAATTTTGTACTTTTGTTATTTACACCTAATAAAAATCTACAAAACTTGTAATGTAATTTCTCACAAAGTGACTTAGAAAATAATTCATCCAGTGCAATGGGTCCATTTCTAAATCGTGATGTAGTAGTGTTAAAGGCCCCCCAAATTTCACTACCGTAAAGTAATATGGGTTTTATTGTATGATCATATACATGTAAAGCTGTGTTTATTTTAGGGTTCAATGATAGGAAATTTTTTTGTAATTTAAAAAATGCCTTTGAAGCTTTTTTGTAAAGTTCATCCTGAGCAAGTGTAAAACTTCCAGATGCAGTGAAATGTATGCCCAAGTATTTATAAGAAGTAATACATTCAAGAGGTTCTTTGTTTAGTGTGAAGTTTTCTTTCAAGTGTCTACCTGCTTTATTAAAGATTAATACTTTGGTTTTTGAAACATTTACATCAAGGCACCAGTCAGTACAGAACTTATCAAGACAATTAAGTTTTTGTTGAAGTCCTTTTGATGACTTGGACAATAAAACTATATCATCTGCATACATTAGACAATGAAGTAATTTATCGTATATAAAGATTTGAGCAAACTCTAAATGTAGATAAGAAGTATACATAAGTCTTAGACAATAATATATATATTTTTTTTTTATTTACTATACAAGACTCAAGTCTAAAAATCTGATTCATAACTGACAAAAACTTTTCACTTGTTGCACATAAAATATACATTCCTTGCTTAAAGGATTAAAGCTTTCTTAGAACCAATAATTAAAACATTTTGTATTTTTGTTTCATCTAGGTGGTCCAGCACTCCAGTTTTAGACAGATCTAAACTCATGCTGAGAATTGCTGATCTGATTGAAGCGAGACAAAATGAGTTTGCTGAACTGGAGTCAAGAGACCAGGGAAAGCCGGTGTGGTTAGCGAAATCTGTTGACATTCCACGCTTGATGCACAATTTCCGAAGCTATGCCACATCAGTTATTCATGATGTGAACAGGTAAAATGTACATGAAATAATGTCATTGTAAGAAAAATTCAAACTTCATAATTTGATAAATGATAGACAATAAATAAACAAAACAAATGTGTCATGTGTCTGTGAGGTGTGTAAAACTTGCATGGTTTTTAAAAGAATAGACATAATAAATGGCTTGTAAGAGAAAAATCATATAGAATTATCTTTCAGAATACCCGTGTACATTGATATTAAATAATGAATCATTTGCTTACTGACAGATCTACAGTGATGGAACCTGTGGGTGCCATTAATTACACTGTGAGGGAGGCAGTGGGTGTGGCCGGTCTTATCAGTCCATGGAACCTCCCCCTGTACCTCCTGTCATTTAAGATCGCCCCAGCCATCGCCTGCGGTAACACTGTCGTCGCCAAACCCAGTGAGATGACATCAGTCACTGCATGGAAGCTCTGCCAGATATTTGAGGAAGCAGGCAAGCGAAATTTTTTGTTATCCTATATCATATACAAGAGACAAGAGTCATAAACATGGTTATATCTTTAAGATACATAAGGAAAGATGGTTAGTACTTTTACCTTAATTTGACATATCCATGATATTCAACAAAATAGAATATTCAACTATATATTTTCATTCTTCATTGTATGACAGGTGTGCCACCTGGAGTGATTAATATTGTGTTTGGAGTTGGTCCCCGGGCAGGAGAAGCCCTCGTCAAACATCCAGATGTACCTCTGATATCATTTACCGGCGGGACGGTTACTGCCAAAAGAATCCGGGAAGCTGCCGCCCCTTACTGCAAAAAATTCTCATTGGAGGTAAAGAGGGGGCACACATAAAAACATTTATCCTGCAACTACCCCTTGCATTGACCTAATAAAGGTAACCTAATAAACCAAAGCTTTATCCGGTCACTGCCCTTATAAAGCCTCGTGCATGTATTCTGACGTTCTAAAGCATTGTGACGTCATGTATATTGCAATGTTTACGCCATGGCGTCATAGTTGCAGAGATGTACCTAATATTGAAAAATGGCTAGTTTTGGACGTTCAAATGTAAAGAATATGTTGCAGGATAAACAAAATACATGATAACTGTATTGAAATATAAGCCATATTTGGGCTCGGGTCGAAAACGTAAGAGGGCTCGGCAAGCCTCGCCCTTTTTCACGATTTCTTACCCTCGCCCAAATATCGCTTATATTTCAAGACAGTAACCATGTATTTTATATTTATAGTAATAATTATTATGTTTTTGTATTGCAAAAAGCACAGTGACTTTGGTATCACTTCATTATTGTCTGTCTGTCTGTCAAACTTAATGTCTTATGAAATTTAAGAGATGTAGAATTTGATATTTAGGACATTTTACTTGCCATGCACACACCAGGGTTAACTTAAACTGACTTGGTGTAAGGATTTTGCATGCCCTATGCAATGTAGCTAATTTTTTAGATACTTGCTTATCTTTCAATAAATACATATCCCCATTTCAGCTTGGAGGAAAAAATGCTGCAGTAATTTTTGATGATGCTGACTTGGAGAAATGTTTATCAACTTCAATTAGGTAAGCAAGTTTTAAAGTATTTTTTATTTTTTTTGATGTTCTTTGTGTATGGGGCTTTGGCATGAAATAATTGTTTATAGGATAAATCTTTGAGACATGCAGGTATTTTTCAGGTCAAGTTTCGCCAATCAGGGAGAAATTTGTCTTTGTACAAGCAGAATTTATGTTCAGAAGCAACTCTACCCAAAGTTTCTAGAGAAATTTGTTACTGAAACCAAGTAAGAACTGATTTATAACAGTTGTATAATATTCATTGAACTTTCAATAATTCTTTTGTTATAACCTTTTTTGGAATGACATTGTCCAAAACTTTCACAGTAAACCTGTAGTTCACTTCTTCAGTCAATTGAGCTACAAATCTACAAATTTTGTGTAACACCATTAATATGTTTCAATCATTACCCAAATCATTTATTTTAGGAAAATAAGGGTTGGTGATCCAAGAAATGAGAAAACATTCATGGGAGCTTTGATAAGTAAAGAACATTTGGCAAAGGTCAAAGGTTATGTGGATTTGGCCGAAAAAGAAGGAGCAACAATTGCGTGTGGTAAAGAGGATTTAAAACTGGAGGAGAGCAACAAGAATGTAAGTGTCTCAACTTTTATTTCATGTCATTTGTTGGATTTTTTTCTTTTTAAATGATTTATTTCTTTACAGGGAATATATGGACCATTGGGTTATGTAATACTGTATACATGCAGGGTTACTTTCGCTCTTTTGCACTTTTGAATAATTTTGCCCCATTTTAAATTCGTTCAGGCATAGTTCTGTTTAAGAAATAATGCTGTGTTCTTTGAATTCGCCCTGTTTTAAATTTGCCCAATCATGAAGAGGGCGAAAGGGGAGAAAATTTTCCAGTGTACAATATATCTGTTTACAGAGATATTTCATAAGGTGTAATAAGATCACTGTTTAATATTATTTATCTATTTACAGGGATATTTTATGATTTGTTATAAGACCACTGTTACTATAATTTATCTGTTTACAGGGATATTTTATGAGACCCACTGTCATTACTGATGTGAAGGACGACTCTCGTCTGATGAAAGAAGAAATTTTTGGCCCAGTGACTTGTATTGTGCCATTTGACACAGAGGAAGAGGTATGTTTTACATGGAGTCAGCATGCTAGCTACATAACAACTGAGTATGAGATTGACATTGGAGAAACCTTAGTTCTGCTTCAAAGTCATGTGAAATGATTTATTTTCCCCTTTTTAAGGAAAAAGAAGCTAATATGGGGAGTATGGCTTATCTGCCACTGTCTGGACTGAGAATGCATCTCGACTTCACAGAGTCTCACAGTCTCTACAGGTATTGTGTTTATCAGGATTCACTAACTATTGGGGTATCCTACGTCAGGAGTCATGATAAACATCTCAGAACAAAGCTCTATAGAGCTTAGCTAGGGTACTGTGTTCCAACCCAACTAGGAAAAAAAGTTTTAATTTTTGTATACCCACTGGTATGTATGTCAAAATACAGGTATATAACAGACATTTAGAATTTTATCATTTAACAAGAAGTAGAATTATTTAACAAGTTGTTTTAACGTTTTACAGGTCGGGACAGTGTGGGCTAACTGTTGGTTGGTGAGGGACCTGAACGTGCCCTTTGGAGGAGTCAAGAATTCAGGTGTCGGATTTGAGGGCAATATCGATTCTCTTGAATTTTTTACAAACCAGAAAACAATCTGTGTGAAATTATAAAGAACAAATAACTAAGTCATGCTTCCTAATTCATAATGTGAACTTATGAAAACTCTAGGCAATTTTTTAATGCAATCAAAGCCTGAGATGATTAATTACATTCTAATTAACAGTATTATTGATAGCTTTAAAAAATTAATTTCCCACTTCTGTATGATGTTACACTTATTCGGATTGCTACTTTTCATTATTTTGCAAAGGGTAAAAATTTACAGCCCCTGCAGTAACTTTTAAGAAAGTTGATATTCTGTACATATAGAGTTATGATGTTGACTTCACAGACTTGTTGTATACTTCAGCAGATTCAAATGTATTAGAATAACAAAACAAAAATGTGGAAATTTGAAACACCTGTGAATTTAGATCTCTATACAATAAGTGCTATGTAAGACATCACAGTGCTTTACATTTTTTTTCACTTATTTACAGCTGCTTTGTTTTGTTTATTTGTTTGTGATATATTTTATATTGATGTATTGTTTACCCATGTAGT